GGGGGTCAGTAAGCAATCAAGAAAAAATAACATTATTTGAGAAGCTACCGACTACAAATACAACTTCCAAAAAGTATCAAATTCACAGGTTTTGAACTTCCCATCAGCTGATATAATCCCTCATTTATTTTCTGTATCGAGTGTTTGGTTGTGAATAAGATGAATATATTATGTCTCCCCACAGACCACCTCACTGACCATAAGCACTTCAGCAGCTGGACTTAATGGCTGCAATCTGATTACCTGGACCGTGAATGAACACGACGAGCAATCGGATTAAATTCTTTTGCAAGTGAGTGTATCTAATATGTCTCATGGGTAAGCAGCCTTGTTGAGTTGGTGTTGTGGGAGACTACGTACACGCACATAGATATGCACACACACACACACACACACACACACACACACACACACACACACACACACACACACACACACACACACACACACACATATATATATATATATATATATATACACACACACACACACTCACACACACTCCCTCACTCACTCACTCACACACTCACTCACACAAAATACACACATTACACTCATACACAATTACACGTATAACACAAACACAGATACGCACATACACATACCCACTCATGCAGACACACACACACACACACACACACACACACACACACACACACACACATACACACATACACACGCTCATACACACACACATACACATACACACACATACACACCTACACACTTATACGCACATAATACAAACATAGTAGGCCATTCAACAGACGCACAAGAAGACAATCAAGTAATAGCCTAGAAAGACGTAAATGTTATGTTTTTGTTTTGTTTACTTCTTTTTTGTTTTGTTTTTCACAATTTATGCTGTAAAATCTGCTGTACTTTTATACCTGGATATGACTGCAGAAACTGACCGAATTTCCACCTGGTTGAATTTCCAATGATAAATTGAAATTTGACGAGTGAATGAATCTTAACACATATTATTTGGTCGATTTATCGAAAACCGAAAACTCATGAACATCCTCAGAATTAAGGTTATTGCATTTACTTTTGGTTTTGCGATTTTATTTATTTATTTATTTATTCGGAGTGCTTATTGGCCCACAGGGGCATATATGATTTCCCCTAGAACATTTCTTATTTGCCCACAAAATTGCGAGTTATCTCCCCTGTGTTTGGTCTCACTCTCTCTCTCTCTCTCTCTCTCTCTCTCTCTCTCTCTCTCTCTCTCTCTCTCTCTCTCTCTCTCTCTCTCTCTCTCTCTCTCTCTCTCTCTCTCCCCCCCCCCCAAAAAAAAATAAATAATTTTTTAAAAAAAAAATCCACAAAGTCCGTCAATCACATATTTTAAATTGAGGATGAAAAGTTTTCCAATCTAATGCTAAAACTGAAAATTTGAACAAGAGAAACTATAAAGAAGTTACACATCTTCATCTTGTTTTATCCAACCCAGTATACATAGAGTAAACAAAGAAATAACTCAATTAATAATGAATTCAATTTATGTCGTTTAAATGCGTCTTTGATGCTGTTTACTAACGTTTAAAAGATAAAGTGTAACTAGGTTAAACTATTTAAATACGACCGATAAATTCATCTGAACATTAGTGTCACCGTATAATGTCATTAATACTGCAGGAGACATGGGAATTCCGCGAAATACTGTTTACTTTTTTTTTTTTTTTTTAAGGCGAAGCATATCTGTGTAATGACACTTCGTTGCTCCCAGCGAATTCAAGGTTTCCTCTTCCCAGTCAACTCTCACAGGGCAATTTCTCCACGTGTAATAAGCAAGTTGAGGAATGATTGGCCTGTCTGGCCGAGACAGTAGGCGCAAAACCTTTAGCTTGACATTTCAGAGATCAGAAAAAAAGCTATAGAGCGTTTAAATCACGTACAACATTGCATCGATTCTGTTATTTCGTTTGTTGATTGTTGTTGTTTTTTCTCCCAAGCTGTCCTCGCTTGTGCTTGGTGTCGACGTTAGACGCATGCAAAGCATTGTATGTATGAGCTGTCTTAGTGTCTCTCTTTATCTCTTTATATCTGACTCTTTCTTATTACCTATCTCTCTATCTCTCTTTCTACCTATCAATCTATCTATCTACCTATCTATCTATCTATCTATCTATCTATCTATCTATCTATCTATCTATCTCCGTCTGTCTGTCTGTCTGTCTGTCTGTCTGTCTGTCTGTCTGTCTGTCTGTCTGTCTGTCTAT